CTTACAGACCAAATTCATATCCCGAATTTGCTCAATCAGTTCTAACTTCATTACCATCATCATCGGTATATACAAGGATTTCCAATTATTTCCTCTTCCTCATATCCAACTCTTTCAAATTAAACAAATACCTTAAACTCGTAAGATCTCCAACCATCTCAATTCTCACACTAGCCAATTCTCACAACAACTAATTCTAAATCACTTGTCAGATAATTCCCTTTTATGTAACTTAAGTTGCCTTACAGCATAACTAAAACTCGCTGATGTTGCACTTAACATACCTCTCAATCATATCAACAAAGCATCACAAAACACAACAATTCTGAAGCACTTAGCTTAACCCGGAAAAAAAAATCACTGCATCACGCCATCTAAGCTTGCAAAACACGTCTATCCCATCCAACACAATCCCAAATATAAGAGCGTTCAACCACACACTGAGCTACAACTCCACACTTGCAGCATCCTAGAGAAGCACAAGTTTCTCCCCCACTTGAATCATTCTCACTTCCTGCAGACAAAGGTTAGAAAAACAAACGCGTACCGACAGTGTTTTCACACACATGTCGCATACAGGAAACAAACAACATTAGAAAACTTGGCCGGACGGACCGACCTGCTCTGATACCACTAATGTAACACCCTTATAAACCCCACGGAAAATATGCGAATAATCAGAGTAAATTTTCATGCATTCACAAAAGGGCGTCACACATAACTTCGAAACATCAAAATCACCTGTCATGCTCATTAACACTTATAATAAATAATCATGTTTCTCACAATTTTACTTTGCATGTAGCAGCGGATTCCGTTTATAACATAATTCTCTTAACAGAATATTCAGATTCATCACATACTTCCACATTACTTAGGCACCAAGGCTAACATCATAATTTTCCAATGCATATAAAAACATAATATAGAATACATAATGTATCCCTAAGATACAAACCAAATGATCCCAGTGTTACATGACCAGAGCATGACTCGACCCAACATAATTAAATTACTAAACAGCTACACCAATAGCGACTTCGCAACTACAAGCAGCTCTACTCTTGATACCTGCACGATGCCAGATAGGACATCATTCCAGCAGAAGGGTGAGAAATATTATCATAATAACAATGCATATATATATATATATATATATATATATATATATATATATATATATATATATATATATATATATATATATATATATATATATATATATATATATATATATATATATATATATATATATATATATATATATATATATATATATACATATATATATATATATATATATATACATATATATATATATATATATACATATATATATATATATATATATATATATATATATATATATATATATATATATATATATATATATATATATATAAACACAAGCATAGAAATCACTTATTCCACATTTCTCACCACAATTTATCATAACTCATTATATACATCACAATATATAGATATAACAAATATGGATAATCACCAAGCATATTCATCATGCACACATCCATAGTTTCAATAAATCCACATAAACATACACATTATGTTTAATTCACCACAATTCATATAAACATATACAATAATGTTTATTCATTAATTCCTCAATCAATATCATTCACAATTACACATTCACAATTCACATTATTGCACATAAACATTTACAATTATGTTTATTCATCACAATTCATCATAAAGTATACACACACACACACACACACACACACACACACACACACACACACACACACACACACACACACACACATATATATATATATATATATATATATATATATATATATATATATATATATATATATATATATATATATATATATATATATATATATATATACATCAAGCATATGTATCATGCATATATCCAAAGTTCTCAATTCAACAATTCATGCACATATGCATATATTCACACAACATTTATCTCTATGCCATGTGACTCAATACAACTCAATGCAACTCATCAATTCCTATTCAAAATTATGGGTACATCACTTATACCCCACTAGGAACAACATCATAGTCATTCTACCCTAGTGAACACCAACACTAGGAACAACATCATAGTCATTCTACCCCAGTGCGTACGACTGTATCACGTATACTCCCCTAGGAACAACATCTCAGTTATTCTACCCCAGGGAGCACTCCACCAGGAACAACATCTCAGTTATTCTACCCCGGTGATTATTCCACTAGGAACGACATCTTAGTCATTCTACCTCAGTGTATACGACCATGTCACTATACCTCACAAGGAACAACATTTGTCATTCTACCCCGGTGATCATTTCACTAGGAACGATATCTTATCATACTACCCCAGTGATTACTCCACTAGGAACAATATATTATCATTCTACCCCAGTGAGTACGAGTTTTGCACATACACATATTTCATCAAAGAATTCATACTTTCAACATCATCACCACATTTATCAAGCAATGCACACATATTCACTAACAGGTTCTCATGCATCCTTCACATACAATCGCATACAAACAAGATGCATTCACAATTCAATACCATCACCACATTTATAAAGTAATGCACACATATTCACAATATGTTCTCATGCATTACAATATCGCGCCAACGACAACGAACTCAATCACATTCATCATGCACTTTTAATCAATTTAAACAATGCATATATTTGCCAAAAGACCACATTTCACAATCGATTCCACAATCTAGGATTAAACAAATGTATCTTTTTTGTCGCTTCACCATGCCATACCCATTTCATGTAATTTTGAATAATTCCATCAAAACCACAATGATTGAATATAGCATCTCTATGATGTTTTTTCCGTATAAAATAAGTTTTTACAAGAACACCAAAAAATCTCATTATTGTTAGGAAGGTTTTTTTCCTGCGAAATCAAGAAACTGTTTCACTTCATTCTCATACTATTTACTTAATCTATTGGCTTTCATCTAAATATGATCCATAATTACATAAAGCTTCCAAAAAAAAATAAAAATAGTACACAACCAACAAAAATAAAGCTTCTCAATAACAACAACACAACAACAACTACAATAAAAACAATAAAAACAACACTAATGGAGAATAACGAGAACAACAATAATGGAGCAAAACAACAAGAACAACAACAATAATAATAACACACTGGAGAATAATGGTGAGAGACTTTTTCGTTCGCTAGAGTTCCTTGGAGAATAAGTATTCTTTCGTTGGCTGGAGAAGAAGTGTTCTTTCGCTAGGACTCGAGAAGTGAATGAGGTAGACACTGAGGGAATGAAAAATATAAAGAGAATAACAAGAACAACAACAATGGAGAATAATAAGAACAACAGTAATGGACCAAAGCAACAACGGAAACAACAACAACAATAATAACATACCAGAGAATAATGGTGAGAGTTTTCTCGTTCGCTAGGTCTCCTTGAAAAATAAATTTTCTTTCGTTGGCTAGAGAATAAGTGTTCTTTCGTTGGGGCTCGAGAAGTGAATGGGGTAGACACTGAGTGAATAAAAAATATAAAGAGTAATTATCGCTCTTAAATTGAAAACTGAAGTAATATATCCGACGTAAAATCTATAAAAAAATAAAGGTGCCTTTTTGGTTCCAAAAAGAATGAAAAATTAGAAAGTATTTATCTCGGTTTTAATGAAAATCGAGGTAACATATTCGACGTAAAATCTATAAAAATTAAAGGCGCATTTTTGGTTCCATATAAAACATAAAACTGCAGGAGCTGGGAATCAAATCTCAAACTCTGAGCATATATTTATGTCGTTTTTTCATAAAACTGAGGTAACAAATTGCTTTTTTTTAAAATAAAACAAGGCGCTCTCGTTACATACACTCTCGATTTTATATTGTTTGTGGTGAAAGCTTCGTCATAAAAAGTGTTATTTGTTGTAGTGACTAGACTCGGGGATACTAGATAGGGTTCACATCATACTACATTGCTTCGTTTGGATCAAATGTGGTTCTCTGTATTAAAGGTGCTTAGTATGGTTGATTAAGATGGACGTGGACCATCTCAAGCAACGAGTTTGATAGAAAAAATGGAGAACTTTAAGTTTGCTTTCATTTAGAAGTTAATGTTAAAGTTGCTTGGTATAAAAAATGAGCTTTCAAGTGTCTTACAAAGAAAAGATCTTAATATTGTGATTTATATGGAATTAGTTTATAATGTTAAAGCTCGGTTGACCACAATTAGAGAGAGTGGTTGAGATGATTTATTTGCTGATGTCCAAGAACTTTGTGTTGCTAAAGGTATTTCGGTTTCAAGTATGGATGACGAAATACCGGTTCGGGGTCGTTCAAGGGTAGTAGGAAGGACTATCACTAATCTTCATCATTATCGTGCAGGGATTTTTTATGTTGCTATTGACAAAATGTGTGTGGAGATGAATCACTGCTTTAGTGAATGAAGTAACATTATCCTTGATTGCTTCTCGTGTCTTACCCTAATAACTCTTTCTCCAAGTTAGATGTTGATAAGCTTGCTTGCTGATATTTTTCATGCAGACTTTTCTGACCGTGGAATAATAAGGGATCAACTTGACACTTATGTTCTTCAAGTGAAAAGACATACTTCCTTTTTCACTTGTGACGGTGTTCAAAGTTTGACTATAAAGATGATTCAAACTAAGAAACATTTGATATTACTACTAGTATACAAATTTATTGAGTTAACTTTGATATTGTTGGGGTCGACGACATTCGTTGAAAGAACTTTTTCAACAATAAAGATTATCAATTTTAAATTGCACAATAAGATCAACGATGTGTGGTTCAACGACTTGATGATGTGTTATACCGAGCAAGAGATATTCAAATTACTGGATGATATTGATATTATTCGTGTACAACTATAAAATGAGTTGATTAAACAGGACAATATATCCGTGTGTATGCCACGTCGGAAGAAAAAAGAAACAAAGGAAGAAGACAATTGTGAAACAAAAGAAATTCAACGTTCAATGAATCAAATTTCTAGACTCAACACTCCTACTACTATAATTCATTCATTCCCATTCCTCCGATTTCGAGCCTCACTCTCCGGCATCGGCGATTCAACCATGTCCACTAACTCACTCCGAGTCGCCGCGGCTCAAATGACTTCCATCACCGACCTCGCCGCCAATTTCACCACCTGTTCTCGTCTCGTCAAAGTATTCTATTTTCTTTTTTTTCAATTTCACAATTTCATAATTTCTCTGATTTTTCATAATTTTCATTTTCTCTTTTCAAAGGAAGCTGCATCAGCTGGAGCAAAATTGCTTTGTTTTCCTGAAGCCTTTTCTTTTGTTGGTACTAATGATGGTGACAGTGTTAGAATTGCTCAACCTTTGGATGGACCAATCATGGATCAATATTGCTCTTTAGCCAGGTTCTAAACCTAACTATCTGTTTCGGTCCGAAATTTTCGAGTTAAGCGTTTTCTGGTGATTGTTTATGATATAGCAAGTGAGATACTTAAGTTTGATGATATGAAAATGAGTTTTGCATATTGTGAAAAAGTTATGCTAAGAAAGTTGCATTTGATTATGTGAATAAATTATACATTTCTTGTGGTGTGATGCAGAGAGTCTAGCATTTGGTTGTCGCTTGGAGGGTTCCAAGAAAAAGGATCTGATTCACAACACTTGTTAAATACACATGTTATTGTAGATGACAATGGGAAGATTCAAAGTACTTACAGGAAAATACACTTGTAAGACTATTAACTTTATCGTCAATGTGAATCTAGTTCCTTCTGAGTATTGATTTGGTCGTGTAGTATTTTTAGCCTACTTGTCTTTCTAGTTAGTATCCTACTGATTTGAATGTAGAATGTAGATATTACTTCAAGTTTGCATTACAAACGCAAGTAAACAGTAGGAACAAGAGATTAGGGGATAGGAAAACGCAAAATAAAGGGAGAGTTTTGAACGAGGAGAATGAGAGTTTGAGCGGGCATAGAAAAGAAAAAGAATTAAAGCTGAAAACAGTGCTGTTAAATAGTGTTGCTAGTATAGAGGAATTTGAACAATCTGCTATTGTTCTGCAAAAAGTGTTTTTCTATAAACTGTTGTCATATCGAGATTAAAGGCCTAGTGGTGCTATGGCGTTGTAGAATTTGAACAAGTTGCTATTTTACGTGATCCACAGTTGACAACTCTGGCTGAAAAACCAAAATACAAAATCATCCTGAAAGCGCTTACAGAAAAATAAACCTGCAAGACTAATATAATCAATTTGAATCTATTTCCACTGATTATTCTTTTGATGTAGTTTTATTGACTTACATGTTTTTCTAGTGAATTTTGAATGTAGAATGGGCTTATTGCTTCAAGTTTGCGACATAAACGCATGTAAACAGTAGGAACAAGGGATTAGGGAATAGGAAGAAGCAAAGCAAGGTGGCAGTTTGGTATGAGAAAGGAGAAAATTCATACGGGTTTAGGAGCTCTTAAACGTTAATCAAAGATCATTCATTATCACTTGATGAAAGTCCTAACATGTCACCAATTTAATCGTTACAATTAGAAACTGTAACTATTTATACAAAAAATAACTCAAATCCTGATTTAATTAAGCTCAAGTGATAACAGTTACCAAATAAATACCACTACTATTGCGAAGCCTATTGACTTGAGCTATCATCTCGTTCAAACAACTTAGTCTATATGTGCCTTCTTAAATCAAAACACATCCATCATCTTTGTGTTTGTCTTCTTGTTAAGGTTTTATTAACAATTGGCAGTTGACATAATTTCACTTTATTTTATTTGAAGGTTTGATGTAGATGTTCCTGGTGGAAGGGTGTATAAAGAAAGTAGTTTTACAGAATCAGGTAGGATATTTACTCTTAACTTAGTATTAAGGCTACACGAGTTTTTTTCTTGCTTTAGCCCTAAGCGAAACTTCTGACCTTTTTCTAATAATAAGAAAGAATCTTCAAATCATTTTTCCCTGCCAAAACTGAAACTTCTTAACAAAGTATCCATTTTCCTGAGTACTTGTCTATGATACGATGGAAATTGTTTTCGTATCTACTACCTTGGTGATGTTTTCAGGCAAGGATGTTGTTGCAGTAGACAGTCCCATTGGGCGTTTGGGCCTTAGTGTTTGCTATGATTTGAGATTTCCAGATATTTACCAGTTGTTACGTTTCCAACATGGAGCGCAGGTATTAAATTATAGTATTTCTTTTTTTGCTTAAAATATGCTGTTTAGGATCTAAAATTACCTAACTTTTGCAATATCCAGATACTGTTGATTCCTTCAGCATTCACTAAATTGACTGGTGAAGCACATTGGGAAATTCTTCTTCGTGCTCGTGCAATCGAGAATCAATGTTATGTAAGATTATATGAATGGTTCTAACAATTAATTAGTATTAAAAAAAAACTATATGAATGAGTTGATGAATGACTTATCAGGTCATAGCTGCTGCACAAGCTGGCGCACACAATCACAAAAGAGAAAGCTATGGCGACACATTAATTATCGATCCATGGGGAACCATTGTTGGTCGCTTACCAGGTAAGAAACATGATACTTCCCACATTCATCAAGCTAGTCTTGTATTGAAATAATATGATGACCACTAATCATGATTTTCTGTTACAGATCGTTCGTCTACAGGAATTGTGGTAGCTGATATTGATTTGTCGTTAGTTGATTCAGTAAGAGAGAAGATGCCTATTGCTGAGGTACTGTAATTGTTTGCAATATTTATATTAGCATTTCTACTTTTATTATTAAAATTAATTTATCGAAGCAATAGTTCTTTTGATTCCTATAAACTATTGATGCATAAATCTGTTACTTTTGGTTTCAGCAAAGGAAGTCATTTGAATTCTGGAAAGCTTCATCTCTATAGTAATTATTTGGACCAAAGGGGTAGAGTTTTTTAAATATGGGACTTGTATGTACCAAAATAAAAACATGGAATTCCTTTATTTGATTATTCTGAGGATGTTGTCTACAATGTTTGATGTATATAAAGATTATTACAGTTTGTGAAAACATGCATTTTCTTTACTAGTATGTGAATAAGGTTTGGTCTAACGCTCATCTCATTTCTTCTATTAACAACACCATGTATGGGATGATTCCAAAAGTGGGCAAACTAGAGTTCGTGTCCCAATGTTGGCTTCTTGCTTTGTGTAGCTTCACTTATAAAATCATCACAAGACTTGTTGTTAATAGAATAAAACCTTTACTTTAATTTATCCTTATCAGTCTAGTTATATCTCTGGACATGCAATTCATCATAATATTATTGTTACTCAAGAAATGGCGCTCCATAGCTAAGGTTAAAGGTAAAATGGTGTTTATGTCCATTAAGATTGACCTTGAAAAAATCCTATGACCATCTTGTTGGGTTTATGGTTAAAGTTAAAGAATAGGTTCAAATAAGCTATTTTGTTTTTCTTATTTTTCTCTATTTCAGTTACATTTAAATGATATGGTTTTATAAAAGTCACTTTAGTCTTTTGAATAAGAAATTGAGTATTATAGGTTTCGTTTCAGCTCTATTTCCTTTATTTGGCATCAGAGCTCGAAAGAGCTTGACAAGAGCGATATACTGTTGCTACGCGAAAAATACACAGAATCGTCATCGAACTTTATTTATCCCAATAAGAAAAGAAAAACATCGAGAAAATTTTATAAGAAGAAAGAAAGTGGTCTCGTAACCAAATTTGGTACGCGAAAAATATACATAGTCGTCATCGAATTTTATTTATCCCAATAGGGAAAGGAAAACATCGAGAAAATTTTATAAGAAGAAAGAAAGTGGTCTCGTAACCAAATTTGGATTTGAGAGTCGATTATGCGAGAGAAAGGTGCTAGCACCACTCGCGTCCGTTGTACTCAACAGGATCCATTCTTGTTGTTCTAATCAAAAGTTGTGTATCTAAAGCTTAACTTAGCATGAATGAGATAAAAGGGGAAAAACAAAAGGTTTTTATTATTGAGTTCGTCTGAGTTTTGCAACCCAGTGCCTATGTATAGGTAATTTTAATTCCACCATACTTCGACTTAAGCTTGGCATCTCATTGTAGTCCCATGCGAAACAAACTTTGTATTCCTTTAACAGTTCGACCAACTTCTGTTTCATTCTTGAATCAATCTTGACACTGATGTATGTTGGTCGTTTTTCTCATGATTCACCCAAATCCACTTCTTCTAGAGGGTCATGGGCCTGCATTTTGATATTAGTTCTTGTGGGTCTTTTTCAAACTTCAAAGGCTCATTTTCGTAAATGCAATCGAGCCTTCGGCTTTCTGAAGTTGTTGTCTGGCCCTTAGGACCCTCTCCATTATTCGCAAAGCTTTCGACGTTGGCCTCACAAGCCAAATTATGAGAAATCTCAACCTCTAGGGCCGATTTTATTTTGTTTTCAACCATATAGGTCATAATCCGAGCCAATGCTTGTGGCTCAACAGACATCTTCATCCACCATTGTTCACCCAGTGGGGGGTAGACTTCCTTCTTCAACAGGTTCGCTCCCTACCTGCTCTTTGTCCCAAATGAGTCTGTAATTTGGGTGTAAGTTGAATCTCTTTCAGAGGTATATACCTCCTCTGCAGCATAACACGGTGGTATTTTTGCTAAGTTCTTGTCAAAGTCTTTCTTTCCCACCTTGCCTATGTCAGCTTTATAATAACTTTGGTCAGCCTCAATATTTTCTACAATGTCATCTTCTCTCCACAAGGCCACCCTCTGGTGTAAGACCGATGACACTGCTCCAATTTCATGTATCCATCTGTGCCCTAACAACAAATTATAGTTTGCGTTGGACCTGATGACCATAAATAAAGTAGGCCTGGATGCCGACCCTACGGACAAGTCGACCTGAATCACCCCTAATATATTTATGGTTTTACCCTCATAGTTGGATAATATCATGTTGTGGGTCTTCGATCTTCATCGAACTTCCCTAACTTTTTAAACATATAGTAAGTCATCAAGTTGACTGTTGCACCACCATCTACAAAAACTTAGTTAACAGCTTCAGAATCAACTTTGGCTCTGATGAAGAGTAGCTTCAAATAATACATCATGTCTGGGTCAGGCCTCTCAAAAACTGTCTGTTGTTCCTTAACTACACCATTATTCATGACGTAGTAGCATAGAGGCTTCTGGTTGATAGCCTCATCTGGAACAAAATCTTCTTCTTCAACCTCATACACTTCTGACACCCGGTCATATTCTACTGGCAACACTGACATTATTCCACAGTTAATCTGAAGGTCGCCTTCGGACTCTTCGTTGAAATTATCTTTGACCATCTCATCATCTGATCTAGAGTATACCCAGACTTCTTATGCTCCGGTCGAAGATGATGAAAAGGTACATAAGCATCCTTCGTATCCACGGAGTATTGAGGATCCTAGTTATTAGGGTCATTTTCTTATGGCTGAGGAGTATAATTTGCAACCTCATCTTCTGACTGAGGAGAACACTCATGAGTTTTTTTTACCTAACTCTGAGTCCTTCTTTGATGATGTGGGTTCTTGTGGAATTTTCGGAACAAACTGTTGTTTCTCCCCTTGGTTGCCCTTTTTGAAGTGATGCTTCATACCGAGTTTAGCTGAAGTCGTATTGCGCTTTGCTTGGCTAGAGCTTCCCTTTCAGCTTTTTTCTTTCTTTGATAGTACCTTCATTGGGTGCGCGTCATAGGATTATTCCCTTTGTAGGTTAGAGACACGTGCGTTTTTCCTTTCGCCTCTTTTTGAACCTTGTCATCTGGAATTCTAGGCTTATGATCGACCTCTTTCCACTTTAGGTGGCTTGCCCTCTTTTGGTTGATGGGTTTTACCCACTTGTCTTTTGGTGCACTTGCAGGTGGCTTGAAGTTCTTCTGTCGAGACTACTGGAACTGCCTCTTGTAGTCCTTGTTCCTACGAGATCTTCCCCCATTGTTAGGGACGAACTGAGCAATTCTGCCTCCCTCACGTTCGCGACCAGGGTTGGTATGAAGCGGTCTCTCCATTTTCTTCGCAGCCTCTTCGTCAAACATTGCACTGCAGTGTGGGCACATCATATTCTTAGAGTCGTTGGGCTTACAACTCTCTAAGAAATCAATTAACCCCTTTTCAAACTAGATGTAAAGTTCCTGGTAGTCGAAGCAGCAATAGTAAAGATCTGCTCTCCCTTATTGACCTTCATGTTGAATTCATCAGTAGCGTCCACCATCAAGATCTCTATCAGTTCAGCATAGCGGGCTTCCTCCATCTTCATAGGGTCCAAGTCCACGTTCACTATTGATTTTGGCTTCTCGCTAAATTGTAATATTTCGTCGTTCAAAGCCTTTTGAACCAAATCCCTGAAAAGAATACATTGAGAAGTCTTATTGTGAGGGCAAAGTGTCTAAATACTTGAATTATACTTGTTTTAATGATGTCAAAACATATATAGTTATAAATGTGTACTTTGGACGGTATCATCGAGTCGCATATGCATTCATTGTTTTTCTCGTGTCAAGCATTTATCAAAAACATGTGTCTGTTCATATAGAAAAAGTACTATATGTGTTCTATGTGAGTTTGATCATGTTGGTTGAGTTAGATATGCATTAGGATCACTTAGAAATAGAAAGACATATCAAAATCAGAATTTTTGCAAGTTCTGAGTCTTTGAGTCAACTCAAAGCTTGCTTAGGTCGACTCATGCAGAGTAGATTTTTTGTGATTTGCTCTTAGGAGAGCTCGCGTCGACCCTCCGGTCGACTCATACTGTGTTTATTTCTATTTATCAAAACTGAGGTGCTTTGCATCGACGCATGGACATGTTCCGGTTGACGCAAAGAGTCTTTTTCTGCATAATTCTGTATGCGGGAGAGCTCAGGTCGACCCCCTATTCTTTAGGTCGACCGTTCGCTCATTTCACACTACTTTTCTGTTATATTTGTCTTTCGAAGTGTCTGTTATGTTGGTTATTTGGTCAAAGCTTTGTATATATATTGTGTTAGCTCATTCTTCACAAAATAATAAGAAAAGTGAAAATATACATTGATTTGGCTCTCATCATCTTCATCCTCTTTCTTGCACTTTCTCAACAAATACACACAATCATTTTTGTTGTGAATTCTGTATCATTGAGGTGATAACGTCCAAACATAGGATCAATGTATCGGGTTTGGATTGATAAATAAGTGTATTTTTCTTGAATATAACCGTTAGGGTTTTGTTCTCCAAGAATCTTGGATTTTGGGGGTATTTGCACAAATCGTTCCTACACAGATTTAGCCGAGCGAAGGTAATTGAAGAACGGGAGGTTCTGTCAATTTAGTAGCGTTAACCAGAGGATTGTGAAAGGAAGGTTTGGGTTCAAATTGTGGGTGTTTGAAATCATTCGGGCAAAGATTTGAAGATCGTTGGGTTGTTCAAAGGTGGTGTCGTAATCATAGCTTTACTCATCACATTCGAAGGACTTGATTCATCTTGAATCAAGGGAAGAGAAGGCATAGGTTCAACATCAACGATTAGGATTAAATGTTTGATTTCTACTGCTTCTCTTATAAAAACAATTTGCATCAGGTTCTATATATAGGTCTCAATTTTATTTTTAGAAATGAGAGTAGACGTACCCCGAGTGAGGACGACGTGGGAACAACCTCAACAAATTTGTGTTGTTCTCTCTTTTCGCTATTTTCATTTCTGAATTTTTACGTTTGTGTGCAATCAAATTGGTTGACTAAAATTATGATTTATTGTAGTGTTGAAACACATTTAGAAAACTCATTACAATCCGTTTGGTTGTAATCGAAAAAGCTTAGCACTACATTTACTTAGTGAATTTTACTTGGAGTGACTCGCACACCAAGTGTTCGACAAATTGCTTGAATACAAACGTTTTGTGCTGTTTTTCAAT